TTTTTGACAGAGAGATGGGGCAAGAGAAGTTTTCAGTGAGATTCAGGAACAGGGGGTAGATTTCAGAGACTTTTTCAAATGTAAACGTGATTGAGCTTGGCAACGGGCCAGGTGTGGGAGATGCAGAGGAAGGAGAGCCACAGTGGAGTGAGCAGAAAGTTGGCTCTTATTTCCGCCCATTTTGCAGGTGAGGAAACTAAGATTCAGAGAAATTAAAAGACTGGTCCAGAACCACACGACCAGTAAATGGCACAGCAGTCTTTATCGTCAGATCATCTGCCCTGTGCCCTTCGTGACATGTCACATTCCTCCACTCCCGCCATTCTCTGCAGAACCCTTTCATGCTCCAAGTGACAGTACTGCAGGGACCAGGGTCAGCCTTATGCCTTTTCCCCACATTTCTCCCGCCAAGAGTGATTACCTTCCCCTGCCTGGCTGAGGGTGGCGTTTGCAGGCCCCGCTCATGGAACCGATAGCGCTGCTGCGGTGGCGGTTCACCCACCCATGCTCCCCACTAGACTGTGATGGGTCTGATGGAAAAGACCCAGTTCTGGGTCTTTCTATTCCCAGTGCTTAGGACAGTGTCAGACCCATGCTAGCTGCCCAATAGATGTTTTTCAAATGAAGAGTGTATTAATTAGGCCTGATGTTTCAGTCCAGGTTGCATCCTCCAGTTAACCAGATACAATAAAATGGCAAAAAGGTCATTATAACCAGCTCTGTGCTGCCATTACTATGTAAAACACTTAAAAGCGTAATCAAGACTTAAGTGCAGGCATTTGTTTGTATTTGGGATCCAGCTAATTATCTACCTGCATCTTTATTTGTTTGGGCGTTCTTACTGAGTCCAGGATGTGCTGAAAGACGCCAGCTTTGCCATTTCATTCTTTTTCTCCTGAGGCCAAGTACGTGCAACAGTTGCTTAAGAGACAGGCCCTTCTCTTGAAGAGCCCGGCCGATGAATGCAGGAGGTGTCTCATAGGAGAGGGTTGCTCCCATCAATAACAGGCAAACTGGAAGAGGTGACCCATGTGGGCATGCCGAGGTGATGCAGATTTCAGTTCCACCTCAAAGGACGCCAGGTACCGAAGAGCACGCAGACGTCGGCTCGCTGGGTCACAATTCCCCTGCCGTCTCTTCCCCCTTCCTTCTGGGGTAGCGCCGTGGGGACCTGTGGGTATCCTGAGCTGTATAAGTGGGTGTTCACGGTATTTGCAGTTTTCACAATATGGCATCTTTGGCCTCAGAGAGAAAATTCTGTAAGCTACATTTGAGCTTGAGAATAAAGATTTTTTTTTTAAGTATTGACAGACCCCATTAAAATGGAATCTCATATCCCAGACTCCCTTTGTGAATCACACCACGTGGTATTGGGTATGGGTTTGTTCAGGGGTTTGAGCCTTGAGCCAGCAGGATGACAGTCAGTGTGACAGCTCCTGTCTGTCCTCAGTCATCCTGTTACCAGCGAACACGCCCACTCAGTATTCCGAGATGTGGTCGTGGAGCCTCAAAAGATTTTTTTCTATGTAACAAATTATCCTGGAGGGATATCAAGACCCCACTGTTTTTTATTTAAAAGTCATAAGTTAAGACCTCAAAGACATGTCAGTGACAGTAAATGAAAATTCATGTTTCCACCAGCAGTTTCTGCACTTTCACTGCAGTGATAAAAATCACTTTGTGCTTCAGTTTGGAGCCAAGGGAAGAATCAAGCCATTGTGTAGATTACTTAAAATTCCACAGTGCCTGCAACATTTGGCCAAAGAATGCTAAGAATTTGCAGCTGTTGCTCCCACAAAAGGGTTCTAACTGGGGCAGCGGCTGCTGTTTGACACACAGCTGTTGTTAATTTGAGCTGAAGATTTTTAATTGCCTTTGTGTCGAGATTTATTAAATAACATTTTAGGAGAACAAAAACTGTAATAGTCATATTAGTAGGATGCTGAAGGAAGAAAATAATAGGAACACAGCATTTTTTGCCTTGTAAGCCAAGTCTGAAAATATCTTTTCCGCATGACTGGCTCCCAGCCATCCCAGGAAAAGAGTTTCTAGGTAAATCCGGCCACAGAAGCCCTGGTGGCCTCTGCAGGAGCTCAGTCACTTGCCCCCTTAGTCATTTACCTGGAAGCACATCTTCCCCCACTGGCATTCTCTGGTTCCCACAGTCTCTGTTTCTATCATGTCAGGAGACAGGAGCCACTGTGCTTAAAGCAAACACAGCATTAGCTGGCAGCTGGCTGCTCCTTTAAGTGGTCTGCATTATTTTTTGCAAGCCTCTCTAACTGCTGTTTCCCCGTTACACCTGGCCCATCCACGACCATACTGTGAAGGGTCTGACCCCTCCCCATTTGGCTTAGAGAAGCTGTATGGACCAGCAGAAGATAGAAAATGCAGACCTTTCCTGGATTTCCTGCCAAGGCAAAGAAGGGGGAACGAGAGGCCCTTCTGCTAAAGAGGGACAACTCCTTAAGAGGGAAGACGTCAACTGCACAAAGAAAGGAGTTTTGAGTATGAAGAAAGGCAAACCAGGAAAATTACAGAATAAGTTGTCAATTCTCATTATTATACTTTTAACAAAATCTCAATCATGCTTTGCATTTTAATGTTAAATATTCCCTTTTAACAGGAAAACTTTGATTCATCAGGCATTGCTGGAGCACTCGCTATGTGCAAGGTGCGGTTTGAGGTGCTGAGGGCGCCAGACAGGCCTCCAGGGCAGATGGCTTGGAGACCCGGTGTGGGGCAGAGTGCGCCCAAGTGCCGCTCACACCACCCGCTCCCGCAGAGGTGAGGGTGAGGGGTCTGGTTCCTGCCGGAAGGGAGAAGCATCTGCCCTGGGCCTAAGGGATGAGGAGGCCCTCGACAGTTAGAAAAGAGGATGAATGGGTAAAGAAAATGTGCTGGAAAATGGAAAATTATCCAGCCATAAAAAGAAGGAAAACCTGCCATTTGCAACAGTGAACGTGGAGGATATATGCTAATTGAAATAAGCCAGACACAGAAAGAAATACTGCATGGTCCCACTTATGTGTGGAGTCTAAGAAAGTCTAAATTGTAGAAGCAGACAGTAGAATGGTGGCTGCTGAGGGGAGGAGCGGGGAATGGGGAGACGTTAGTCAAAGGAACAAACTTTCAGTTGTAAGATGAATGTGTTCTAGAGCCCTGATGCGCAGCACGGTGTCTGCAGTTAACAATATTGCATACTCGAATCAGCTAAGAGTAGATGCTAAATGTTAAATGTCCTCACCACAAAAAAAAAGGTAACTATGTGAGGTGATGGATATGTTAACTAACTTCATTGGGGAAATTATTTCACAATATGTATGTATATCAAATCATCATGCTTTACCCCTTAAATTTATACAGTTTTGTCAATCATACCTCGATAAGGCTGGGGCAGGGGAAGAAAGAAAAGAGGAGGAAGGAAGGGCCTTTCAGGCTCAGGACAGGGAAGAGCACAAGCATGGTGCTCGAGAACAGTCTGTGTTGTTGAAGGAACTCCACGTAGCAGGCATAACAGTGATGGGGGAGGGTAAAAATGAAGGTGTTGGCGAATTAGAACAAAATGGGACCAGATTCTGGAGAATTGAAATTCCACTGTAAGGAGTTTGGATTTTAGTCTGGGGGGCATGGAAAGCCCCTGAATGCTGTGCAGCTGGGGAGTGACACGTCTTTCAGGCACGTCCCCTTGCTGGCAGGTCTGTTGGACTCCGAGGCCTCACCTGTTCCCACATGCGGAGGTGGAGTGGCTGCCGCACGCCAGGCAGAGCGTGAGGACGTGAACTGTGGCCAGGTAAATCTGGCCACAGTGAGGAAGGGAGAAGAGAACACCTCTGAGGGTCAGAGCCTGGGCTTCAAACCCTGAACTTGCTACTTACTAGCTATGCAGCCTAAAGCAATGGAGTTAACTTCTCTGTGCCTCTGCTTCCCGTCTGTGAAATGGGGATTATAACAGTGCCTGCCTCCTAAGGTTCTTTTAAATTAATACACATAAAATGCTTAGAACAGTGACTGGTGCAGTAAGCACTTGGCAAAGGTTAGCTTTTGTTATTTTCAGATGTAAAATCCTATGACTTAGTAACTGGTTGAACTTGGAAGGCAGGTCAAAAACGTTATATTCATCAAAGGCAGAATACAGTTAATAATAATGGCTAGGAAAAAAAATAGAAAAATCATATTGAGGGACACGCTACAAAATAACCGTCTAGAATCTTCAAAGGTGTCAAGGAAACCCAGAGGAACAGTTCCACGCTGAAGGAGACCAAAGGACGTGACAGCTAAAGGCAACACGTGATTCTGAACTTGATCCGTCGGCTTTAGAAGACATTATTGGGTCAATTGGGACAATTCAATTGGAATGTGAATGGGGGTCTGAGGACATAGATACGAAGGAGGATGTGCTTGGTTCCTTGTTGGTAGGAAAGGACATTAAACGTTCTAGAGTAATGAGACTTGCGATTAGCAACTTATTCTCAAATGTTTCAGAAAGTTCTTTGTACTCTACTCACAACTCTTTTGTAAGTTTGTGATTGTTTGAAAATAAAACAATTTTTTTTTTTTAAATTAGCAGCTAGCGTGTGTCGAGCACTCACCAAGTATCAGGCACTGCAGCCAGTGCTTTGCTCACGAGCAGGTTCAGTTCCCCAGGAAACTTCTCTGACTTGCATCTCTAATGCAAAGGGAGAAATGTGCTCCTGTAGCAGCGCCCCCATGAGACCCCTTGTAACTGCTTGACTTGTAACCACTAGTTACAAGTGGTCTGCAACAAGTAACTGTCTGTTGCTTGTCTGAAACACCTGCCCCTTGGATAGTAAGTTTCCCATTCTCCTTTGTATCCATCCCTCCCAGCACAGCTCCCGGGAGGTGGAGCTTTGGTGCATCCTAGGTGCTCAGTACATGCTTGGTGAATGAAGCGCTGAGGTTTGCTCTCTGTGGTGACTACAGTCAAAAATGAGGCACCGGAATTGGGATTCATGTCTGATACCTGACTTCTTTTCAAGGTGGCCCTGGCTCTGGCAAAGGCACACAGTGTGAGAAGCTGGTGGAAAAATATGGATTTACACATCTCTCGACTGGTGAGCTCCTGCGTAATGAGCTGGCATCGGAATCTGAAAGAAGCAAATTGATCAGAGACATCATGGAACGTGGAGACCTGGTACCCTCAGTAAGCAACGCGACCTGCCCCACATACCTGCCTTCCCTGTCTGGGGAGACTTGTGGGACTGTTGTAATGAGTCTGAGCTGCTGGAACAAAGAAACCCAACGGGACTCTAGCTGTGTTTTATTTCTCTCCCACGTGACGGTCCAGAGGCAGGCAGGGCTACAGCACACCGCCCATCTGCCCGACCAAGCTGTGCGGCCCAGTTCCCTTCTTCTGTCTTGTTGCTCTGGCAGCCCCTGAAGTGTTAGCCTATTTCACATTTCCCCCCCAAATTCATCCCCACTTTAGAGTTTAAAAATCTTCAAGATAGTGGTGAGTGTGGTGCAGTAGAGCCTAGAATTAGAGACCCCCAGGAAACAGAAAACAATGTTTTAGTCTGCTTCTGGGAGATATGATAGCATTATCTTAAAATTTGGTGTCTTGCTTATGTAATATAAGTAAAGAACGTCCTTGTTTAATATCTTTTCTTTTCAAGTTACCATCCATCTCTGAGAAGCTAGATGCTACAGTTATAAAAAAAATATTCATTCCTGCCACACCGGGTCCTCTGCTAGCCTCTCTAGTTAGGGCTTGCACAATACAATCCCTATTCGCTTGCAGAGCTTTCTACATCCTCTCTAGCCAGCTGACTGGAAGGTGGAACAGTCCTCGTGAGAGGAAAACAGACTGTTGCCATCACCTCTTCACTGGCCTCCCTGTGCCCACTCTTTTCCCCCTGCAGCCTCCTCTTTTCACAGTAGCCAAAGTGATTTCTTTAAATGTTTACCAGATTGCAGTATTCCTTTCCTCCGAAGCTTCCAATGGCTCCTCACTGCACTTAGCATGAAATCCAGAGTCCTTCCCATGGCCCTGGCCTCCAGCTTCCTCTCCAGAGTTATCTCCCACCACTCGGACCTCATTTGGTCCCACCTGTCCACTGGCCTCCTCATTGTTCCTCCTGAAATCAGGCTGTTCCTGCCCCAGGGCCTTTGCACTTGGTATTCCCTCAGCCTGAGTCCTCTTCCTTCATATAATCACATAGTTTTCTCTTTTACTTCATCCAGATCTCCACTTAAATGTCACATTTTATCAAAAAGGCCTTCCCTGAACCACCCCTATCTAAAATAGCACCCCCAGCATTCAGTATCTCTCTGCCTTGCTTTAATTTTGTGCCCATCAGTTATCTCCAGCTGACTCTTGATGATATATCCATTTGTTCACCTATTGTCTGTCTTCCTTGTCAGACTATAAATTTCATGAGGAGTTAATTCACGATTATCCAGACATAGGTTCTGACCATGTCTGTGATGGCTGCATTTCCTAAACCCTTGCCAAAAGCCAGAAAGCCAGAGAACGGGGAATGCCTCCATTTGGGCAGCTGATTACATTTTTCCTACACCCATTCCCAAACTTCCATGTATCCCCCTTCCCTTATTTTCCGTAAGCACTTGGTTTTTTTTTTTTTTTTTTTTTAAGACAGAGTCTCACTGTGTTGCCCGGGCTAGAGTGCCGTGGCGTCAGCCTAGCTCACAGCAACCTCAAACTCCTGGGCTCAAGCGATCCTCTTGCCTCAGCCTCCTGAGTAGCTGGGACTACAGGCATGCGCCACCATGCCCAGCTAATTTTTTCTATATATTTTTAGTTGTCCGATTAATTTCTTTCTATTTTTAGTAGAGACGGGGTCTCGCTCTTGCTCAGGCTGGTTTCGAACTCCTGAGCTCAAACAATCTGCCCGCCTCGGCCTCCCAGAGTGCTAGGATTACAGGCGTGAGCCACCATGCCCGGCCCCATAAGCACTTGTTAAATCAAAATTTTTAACAGAGAAAGCACGTTGCTAGAAAATAGTGTTTCACATCTACTGAAAGCCTTCCAAAGTCAATGGATATCAAATTTTATAAAATATTTACTGGAAAAAAAAGTAACAGTGAAATACATTTTGTTTTGTCTAGTTTTAAACTGCCATTATGCCTAATTCTTGGAGTGCTACCATATGAAATATGGCTGTCATATTTCATCTAATCTAAGGTGTCATTATTTTAAGACACTTCAGTAAAACATAACTGCTAAGAATGTACCAGTAAGAAAAAAAACTAACAGTTAAACTATGACCCAGCACTGATTGTAAGATACCTGACAATTTTATAGACATTAAAATATGGGGGGCGGGGGGAGGTGAGGTGAAATGTGATATGTTGCCATCTGCTGTTAATCTTGTCTGAACCTTCCTCCCTCCCTCAGTGGGATGACTGAAGGAGACTTGTGGTACTTCTAGTGTTGTCCTATGGAAGAGTTCACATCCTGACCATTCTCCCTCTGCTCCAGGGCATCGTTCTGGAGCTCCTGAAGGAGGCCATGGTGGCCAGGCTCAGCAGCACCAAGGGCTTCCTGATTGACGGCTATCCTCGGGAAGTGAGGCAAGGGGAAGAATTCGGACGCAAGGTGAGCTGTCGTTATGGGGATCATTCCAGAAGGAAAATAGGGGACATCATTGAAGTTGGGGGTTAAATTCAAAGGCTATCCCTTTCCCCACTACATTAATCAAAGCTTTTCATAACAAGTAGCAGAAACTCAAACTACCAAAAAAAAGGGGGGGGTAGAGGGGTGGATTTATTGACTTACGAAAGCATCCAATGGAGGTTCAGCCTTGTTCGAATCTAGGTATTCAAATTTATTCATCACTTGTCTGATTCTCTCCATCTCTTGAATTTTACTTTCATTGTGTTGGCCTCATTTTCTTCCTGATCCAGGCTTATATTCTGCCATCTAAGTGACCTCACAGAAACATGTTTCTGTTCCCCAGTGGGTCCAGCAAAAGACTCAGGGATGTGCTCCATTGTCCTGGGTTAGGTCACGCCCCATCATCACGAACCAATCACTGCGGCCAAGGGGAAGGGGAGGGAATATGCTGATTGGCCGAGCCTCGAGGACCAGGGTGGATGGGAAGGGAGGAGGGGTACAGGCACCACACAGACTGAAAGTGGGAAAGAAAATCACCCCAGGAAAAGTAGGGCTGCCCTTACAAGATAGGAGAATGGATGCTGGACAGGCAGATCAAAACTACGCATCACTTCATCCTCCCACCATCCCAACCTCCCAACCCCATCCCCTCCTAGAGAGGAGGGTGGATCAGGGTCCCTCAGGGGAGCAGCAGGAAATAAAAGCCATCGAAGCTGTTGTGTATTGAACCTACTCTGGGCCAGATCCTGTGCTATACACTTTATACACAGCACCTGCAATTTTGCAAAGTCCATGCAAGAAGAGTACAATTGTCCTATTTCTTAAACAAAGACTGACTCCAAAACCTATAAGAAATTCATATCTTTAGAGATATCTCTTCAAAAAAAAAATCAGGCAACCCCCTGAACCAGAATAGGTCCAGAGAGACTCCCTGTAGAGATATCACTTCAGTTTTGAAACACTTTCATATACATTCTTTCATTTGATATTTTTTTAAATAACTATTTTAATACATATTGTTTGCATGTTAAAGGTGATGAGTTAAGCCCAGAGAGGTTTAATGACTTGCCCATAGTCACACAGTTGGTGACAATTTACTGACAAGTGACAACTGCTGGTAGGACTAGGATTTTGGGGACCCATCTCCATCTACCTCTAGCAACATTGATTAAGGTGAATTGTGTTGTGTGTCTCCTGGGGTTTAGTTTGCCCTCCTTCTGAGCCTCTGTTTCCTTTAACTTCCTCAGAAGTTAAATATCTAAATATTTAAAAGTCAATTACTCACCTTCCGCTACGTTGCCTATGTGAAACCAGAGTCAAAGAAAACAATGCCCAGGTGTTGTTTGCAAGGGGGGGGGCCCTGGACCGACTCTGGCTGTCCCTTGGCTCCAGAGCCTCCATCAGCAAGGTGGGGGTGGGCAGGGAGCAGTGGATTTGTGTCTCAGAGCCCTGTGGCTGTGGCAGTTCCGGGGAGTTCTTGCTGGGGGACACTTATGTACCAGAATTCTAACGAGCATCTTCCCATGAAACAAACCACTTCATGAGCACAAACCTCAATATAAATCAACTAGTTGTTTAAAAATGGAATTAGGAAGATTGTTCTACTTTTTGAAATTGTGGTAAAATATACATAACAAAATTTATCCTCTTAACCATTTTTACATGTACAGTTCAGTGGCATTATTGTTGTGTGACCACCACCAACATTCATCTCCAAACTTCTTTTCATCCTGCTATCCTGAAGCTCTGTACCCGTTAAACAACTCCCCATTCCCCACTTTTGCCAGCCCCTGGCAATCACCATTCTACTCTGCAGAATGTCCTCAAGGTTCGTCCACGTTGTAGCATGTGTGGGAATTTCCTTCCTTTTCCAGGTTGAATAACATTCCACTGCATGTATATATTACATTTTGTTTATCCATTCATCCATAGTAGAGACTTGGGTTGCTTCCACCTTTTGGCCATTGTGAATAATGCTGCTATAAGCCTGGGTGCACAAATATCTCTTTGAGACCCTGCTTTCAATTCTTCTCAGTATGTAGCCATAAGTGCTAGATCATGTGGTAATTCTATTTTCAATTTTTTGAGGAACCACCATACTGTACGTATACATACATACTGCCAACCACAGTGGCTGCACCATTTTACATTCCTACCAACAATTCATGAGGAACCCAGTTTCTTCTCACCAACACTTGTTACTTTCTGAGTTTTTTTTTTTAATAGTAGCCATCCTAAAAGCTATGAGATGGTATCTCATTGTGGTTTGGTGGTGGTGGTCGTGGGCGGTGGTGGTAGAGACAGGGTCTCGCTATATTGCTCAAGCTGGTCTCAAAATCTTGGCCTCGAGCAATCTTCCTGCCTCAGCCTCCCAAAGTGCTGGGATTACAGGTGTGAGCCATTATGCCTGGCCTTCATTGTGGTTCTGATTTGCTTTTCCCTAACGATTAGTGATGTTGAGTATCTTTTCAAAAAATGTGCTTTTTGGCCACTTGTATATATTCTTTGTCAATGTCAATGTCAATTCAAGTCCCTTACCCAGTTTTTAATCAAGTTGTTTACTTTTTTGTTGTTGAGCTGCAGGAGTTCTTTATATATTCTGGATATTAACTCCTTATCAAATAGATGATCTACAGATATTTTTTCCCATTCCACATGTTGCTTTTTCACTATTTTGATCACATCAAATTACATT